CACGGTTCTAGGCTCAATTACAGACTTGGATGACTGGATGGAATTTCTACATACTCCACGTGCCTGCATGAGTTTCCTCTGGGTGCTCGAGTTTCCTCCCACAGTCCAAAGATACGCAGGTTAGGCGGATTGGCTATGCTAAATTGCCCGTAGCGTGCAGGCTGGCTCGGTTAGCCATGGGAACTGCTGTGTTAGAGGGATGGTGTGGGTAAGGGTGGGATGCTCTTCGGTGGGTCAGCTCTTCGGTGGACATGATGTGCCGAATGGACTGATTCCACATTATAGAAGCATTTTCTATGATTCTAAGTTTTTGAAGGGAGTTGAGGCGAACAGTCTTCACCAAGAAGTTGGTAGGAGTCTGGAATACACTGCCTGGGTGGGTCGCTGAGATGGAAAAGCTAACAACCTTTAAAAAGCCCTTGGATAAGCCACTTGAATTGTCTGAACATTCAAAGCTATGGGCTAAGTTTTGGACTGTGGGTCTAGTGTAGATTTTGAGTATTATCTCACGGTCTAGATTCGAAGGGCCGATGGGCCTCTCGTATACTGTCGGAAAATCACAAATGTTAATTCTCCATCACTCAACACCAAAACAGCCTTCAATGTGGATGGGCTGCAAACATGTAAAGGAAAGCATCAATTGTGTGATCACTTTTTAAAAAAATCCATTCATGGGATCAGGGCTTCGCTGGCTCGGCAGCATTTATTTCCAATCCCTAATTTCCCAGAGACCAGTTAAGAATCAACCACATCGCTGTGGTTCTCGAGTCACATGTAGGCCCGAACAGGTAAGGATGGCAGTTTCCTTCCCTAAAGAACATTAGTGAACCAGATGGGTTTTTCCCGACAATCAGCAATGGCTTCATGGTCATCATTAGGCTCTTAATTGCAGGTATTTTATTGAATTCAATTTCCATTATCTGCCACGGCAGGAGTTGAACCGGGTCCGCAGAACATTATCTGGGTCTCTGGGCTAACAGTCCAGCTATAATACTACTACACCATAGCCTCCCCGTATCGCTTCTGGCTGATCTGTCTGGCTGATCGTACTTCACTGCAGCTCCTGCCCCCTGGTCTGTATTCCCTGGTGCATTTTTACAAACGTTGAGGCAGAAGTAATTCTTTATTATTGATTAAAATCGCTCAGTGAAATCTAAACCTGCTCTATCTGACATAGTAGTTATTAGCAGCCTCCAAATGTCTAATTGTGCCACTGATGCATTCGCTTAATAAGGACCTCAATGTGCTCTTTCACAGTCTTAAGGAGAGTGCTGTGTCACCTCCTGAACTGACAGAAATCTGCAGCTCACGACAGAGGGCCAGGTTCAACTTGAATCTCGGAGATTGTAACGGGAATAGATAAGGATTTGAGATCAAAACTTCCCAATGTTCCAACATTGCAAAAATGGTTTTCCTATGAAGTTAACTACATTTATGAGAATCATAAATGGATGGATTTGCAATCGTTGATCTATTGGTCGCTTAGGATCATTGAACATTTTTACTATCCCATTCTGGGTATTATTGGGATCGCAGGTAATTTTCTTCAGTCCTTGATTGACGCTCGACAGTCGTCTTTGTTGCAAGAATACGGTTATATGTTACTGCCCCCTCCTGCTGGAGTTAGTGCTCTTGGGAATTATCTATGTATAACTGTGAAATGTAGTTTCCATAAATAACTGCGTTACTCTCGTTAAATGTACTCTCTCACAAATTTTTGAACATTAATAGCAAGACAAACTAAATTAGTCACTCTATCAATGACAATCAATATTTCCCAACTGTTCCTAACCAGAGTTTACGAATAATTGAACGTGGACACTACCTTTATCACTTAAACAAAAATTTCAATTTATTATTCACACTGTACCTTTGGCAGGACGAAGATAAAGAGTTTTGTCATCTAATTGACGACTATGATTTAATCACAGATGTAACAAAGTGTAGAGCTGGAGGAACACAGCAGGCCAAGCAGCATCAGAGCAATAAGAAAGCTGACATTTCTCGGGACCCTTCTTCAGCTTTCCTGTTCCTCTGATGATGCCTGGCCTGCTGTTTTCCTTCAGCTCCACACTTTGTTATCTCTGACACCATCATGTGCAGTTCTTGATATCTTTATGATTTAATCCCAATATTCTTTGATCATGAAGCCCGCATAGCCTGCTGGTCGGACAGTCACAATGGAGGGAAGATTTACAAAGAAAAATTGAAGGATTGTAATTTGTAAGTTCAAATAATCAGGTTCCAATGATGGATTCCAAGCCTTCGTGCAATCAGTGTAAAACAAACATTCACAGGCACAAAGCTGTATCTCTAATTTCTATGCCACGAGTGAATGCAAACAGTCTCAGGAAACGTTGCAAAGTATTTTCCTAATTCCTTTGTCAGAACGTTCAACAATTCTTGAACTGGACAGAAAACTGGAGGGAGTAAAACATAGCAGCCAATCCCAAAGATTCCAAAAATCACCCCTGTCCTGCCAAAACCATTCATAGACCATTTACTCTTTTTTTTTTAATTTTAATCAATATTCTCTGTGTTTGGCTGGTTAGTGTCTATCGTCCCTTGACTAGCAAAGTCAACGTGAAGCCAACTGCAATCACTGCGCCTAGCAGGACTTGATGTTGAATTGCGCACAGCATTCCTCAGATTTGTAGTTAATTACCGTTGGCTTCCAGGGGTCAGTCTTCAACAAAACAAATCTCTGTCTATTCAACTCCATCTTACCACACAACGCTGTTCAAAGATAATTTCTGACATCACACACAGAAAAACAGTAGAAAATTAGCGAAGGTCTCTCCAACGTTCTCTGCTGTTCCTGCCCTGATAAGTCTCGGTCAACAGATGTTAGATCTTAAAACATGTGTCACTGTGCAACTCCAATTCTTATTTAATTCTTTGGAAAACTGAGGCCATTCACTTCAGTCATCAGCATACAGTCTGCCCAATACCCACCTACATCATTACTCTTGCAGCTCACTGTGTGAGCCTGAACAGGACCATACACAACATAATTAATGCCGCAAGACAAGACCATGAACTGAGCCAGTTCTGCTTCCAACCACCTCCATCATTGTGCCCATATTCTGATCCTCCTGAGCCCATTGAACCATATAAACTTATTGCTGTCTTTGCAAAATTCACGCTCTGCTAGTCTAATCTTCTTGCAGCCAGGCTCCAAGGATATAAGCTTCTGTCAACTACAACTAATCGAAAGCTGGTCAGTCACTCATTAACTCACACGAAGTGCTGTTGCACTATCGACTCGTTGCACCCAATGGTGATGGGGTCACATCCGAGCAAAGTCTCGAGTTTAAAATTCTCGTCATTGTATTCGACTCATTCCATAATCACAAACTCCACTTAGCTCCAGGATATTTCCTTTTCACAAAGGAAGCACTGTAAATCAGATCACTATCCTTTTTTGTTCCATCTCTGTCTGTCTCTGTTTGCATTCCACTATGTCCACTTCGTTCTGTTTCTCTGTCACGAATACGTTTACTATTATTGACAGAATCACATCAAAGTACAGTGCTGATCTCGGCCAAACAGTCCATCAAGAAATTGGTGGATGTATGAAATATCCATCTCGCCATTTGCACTCTGCTTTTATTGACAATAAGATATTTTCTATGATTCCTTCTTTTCCTTCAGACAGATTGAATCTTGGTTGAGTTTATGTGAACCACAATCTCCAGGAAGAATCTTCGGATCCCAACAGCTCTCTGTCTGATAATATGCTGTATTTTCATCTCCGCATCTTTGCTAATTATTTGAAGTCAATTCCCTCTCTACACCCACCCTTCGGAAAATGGCATCAATATCAAACTTGTCATTGGATGCAAAAAAAGACTCTTCGGTGTTTTCGTCAACAGCTAGAAGATGTTTTCACATCGGATCAGTTTATTATGTTGGGCTTGTACTCATTGGAACGTAGACAAGTGAGAGGTGACTTTGTTGAAAATGTAAGATTCTTAAGCAAACTGACAGAGTACAGTGAGACAACAAGGTGCAGGGCTGGATGAGCACAGCAGGTCAAGCAGCATCATAGGAGCAGAGAGGCTGACGTTTCGGGCCTAGACCCTTCATCAGAAAAGGGGGAGGGGAAGGGGCTTCTGAAATAAATAGGGAGAGAGTCGGAGGCGGATAGAAGATGGATAGAGGAGAGGATAGGTGGAGAGGAAACAAACAGGTCGAAGAGGCGGGGATGGGGCCAGTAAAGGTGAGTGTAGGTGGGGAGTTAGGGAGGGAATAGGTCAGTCCAGGGAGGACGGACAGGTCAAGGGGGCGGGATGAGGTTAGTC